ACCATCTCCGTCACCTCCACCACCATATATTTATAAGTCTCCACCACCACATTCACCTTCTCCACCTCCTCCTTATGTCTATAAATCACCACCACCACCATCTCCTTCTCCACCACCACCGTACGTATATAAATCTCCACCACCACCTTCACCTTCTCCACCACCACTGTACGTGTATAAATCACCACCGCCACCTTCCCCTTCTCCACCACCACCGTATGTTTACAAGTCTCCACCACCACCTTTGCCTTCACCGCCACCACCGTATGTCTATAAGTCTCCACCACCACCGGGGAAATCTCCGCCACCACCATATCATTACACATCACCACCACCGCCGGTGAAGTCTCCACCGCCTCCTTATTACTACACTTTTCCACCACCACCGGTGAAGTCTCCAACGCCTCCTTATTACTACACTTCTCCACCACCACCGGTGAAGTCTCCACCGCCTCCTTATTACTACACTTCTCCACCACCACCGGTGAAATCTCCACCACCACCATACTACTACACATCACCACCACCACCGGTGAAGTCTCCACCACCTCCTTATTACTACACTTCTCCACCACCACCGGTGAAGTCTCCACCACCCCCATACTACTACACATCACCACCACCACCGGTGAAGTCTCCACCTCCTCCATATTACTACACATCTCCGCCACCACAGGTGAAGTCACCACCACAACCACCACCGTACCACTACACATCTCCACCACCGCCGGTGAAGTCGCAACCTGCACCGTACTACTACACATCACCTCCACCACCGGTTCATCATCACTACCCACCTCACCACCAATTGGTCGTTAAGGTGACCGGAAAAGTGTACTGTTATAGGTGCTATGATTGGACATACCCATCGAAGTCTCATAACAAGAAACATCTCAAAGGTATACACCAAAATTCCTATAATCTTTTCCCAACTCTTTCAATATATTTTGGTCATTTGAAATATTCTACCGATTAACATGGTTGTAATAATAAATTTTAAACCGCGTGGATCAGGTGCCGTCGTGGAGGTCACATGCAAAGTAGGAGACAAAGAAATAGTGGCATATGGCAAAACAAAGAGCAATGGGAAATACAGCATTCCAGTAAAAGGATTAGAGTATGGTAAATATAGAGCAAAGGCATGCAAAGCCAAACTTCATGCACCACCAAAGGGGTCAAAATGCAATATCCCAACAAATCTTCATTGGGGAAAGAAAGGAGCCGATCTCAAAGTGAAGTCAAAAACTAAATATGGAGTTGTGCTTTATGCCAAACCATTTGCTTATGCACCCAAAACTCCTTATGGAGAGTGTAGCAAGCCCAAGCCAAGCCCTACTCATTACTACTACAAATCTCCACCACCTCCCACTCCGACTTATGTCTACAAGTCACCCCCACCTTCTGCACCAACTTACGTCTACAAATCACCCCCACCCCCAACACCGACATATGTCTACAAGTCACCCCCGCCCCCAACACCTACTTACGTTTACAAGTCACCTCCACCCCCTACCCCGACTAATGTCTATAAATCTCCACCTCCCCCAATACCAACTTACGTGTACAAGTCACCCCCACCACCAACACCGACATATGTTTACAAGTCGCCTCCACCTCCGACCCCGACTTACGTTTACAAGTCGCCTCCACCCCCTACACCAAATTACATCTATAAATCTCCACCTCCTCCTCCTTACGTTTACAAATCTCCACCACCACCACCACCACCACCACCGACCTACATCTACAAATCACCACCACCTCCACCTTACGTGTACAAGTCTCCACCACCACCTCCACCAACCCCAACTTACATATATAAATCTCCACCTCCTCCTCCTTACGTCTACAAGTCCCCACCGCCACCACCATCTTACGTTTACAAATCACCACCGCCACCACCAACCTACATTTACAAATCACCACCGCCACCTCCTTATGTTTACAAGTCCCCACCGCCACCACCAACCTACGTTTATAAATCACCACCACCACCTCCCTATGTTTACAAGTCTCCACCCCCTCCACCACCCACCTATGTCTATCAGTCTCCACCACCACCACCTTATGTTTACAAGTCCCCACCACCGCCATCACCGTCGCCTCCACCACCCTATTTGTACAAGTCTCCACCACCACCATCACCATCTCCTCCTCCACCATACTACTACAACTCCCCACCACCACCTTCCCCATCTCCACCTCTTCCATACATCTACAACTCTCCACCACCGCCATCAACTTCACCTCCACCACCCTACTACTACAACTCGCCCCCACCACCGTCACCTTCTCCTCCACCGCCCTACCATTACAGCTCTCCACCCCCACCATCACCATCACCACCACCACCCTACCACTACACCTCCCCGCCACCACCTTCACCCTCACCTCCACCCCCTTACGTTTACAACTCTCCACCTCCCCCTTCACCATCACCGCCACCACCATACGTCTACTCATCACCTCCCCCACCTGTAAAATCACCTCCACCACTGGTATACATCTACGCCTCCCCACCACCTCCAACCCATTATTAAGCTCCAAGAAGTTGGAAAACTGTAAGTTATTATCTAAATAAATTGTTTTATTACTAACCATCAACATACATTTTATTAGTCCATAGTCTGATTTTCATTGTTCATTTTGCAGCAGTTAGTCTAGAATTCCAAATAAAAGAAGGCTTCCACAACCAACTTCATAGAGCAACTACTTTATTCAATAAGGTTCTACAAGCATTAGAAAACATCAGAGTTTGCGTGTTGGACCAATTTTCTACTTCTATTGTTGTTAGCTTCCAGATTCTCATTGCTATATCTTCAAGTGGAAGTGATTCAAACATAGAGTATTTCTTTGCACAAAGAAGATGGTCAGTGAAAATTAATTGCATGTAGGGGCCAATGTTTTTTCTAACACTACTGTATAAATGATGGCATTGTTTGCTTGAATTTGTATTCATTACAATTCTTTCATGATTCTTTTGTGCTCTGTGAGGTCAAATGTTAATAATAAAAGCTATTGAATTTGTTTCTCTTTTATGCATATTTACGAACCGAAGAGGGAAAAACATAGAAGGAATTATGATGAAAAAAATAGACGGAATTATGATGAAAAACAACATAATTTTAATGAGATTTATGCAATGAAATACGTCAATTTAAATGACATACAACTATAAAGACATAAAATTCAAATCGATTCACCCTCAATCTAGGGTTTCCGAAATTAATTCCAAAAAAATCCGATTTTTTTCCAAAAAGTACCTATAAATAACATATATTGTATAATGCTTATTTAAAATTTTTTTTTTTTTTTTCTAAAATAGTAATTTGATTTCAGTTTTGTTTTAGGATTTTGGCAGGTGAATGATCTCACCAAATGTGAGATAAATGTTCGACCCGAATAGTTGGATAATTAGAATGTACCTGATCACTGTTTAACAAAACTCTGTCTAGCCCGGTTTGGTTATTAGTTCCTATGAATTTTGCATCTGACAACCCGCCTAAATAGCTTAATGAAACTCATGCATACCACCATCAGTAAGATTAACCTGTTTCGGTTTTGTTTTCGGTTCGGTTTCGAGTCTTGGGTTTCGGTTTTGGGTTTCGGGGTTTCGGTAAGAATCTCATTAAGATGTCCCCCAATTATCTATGGAATATTACATTCTTTCGATATGAATCAAATGCTCCCATAGAAATCGTCGTTCACCACAACTCCTTTCTGGGCCTTCATTTTGTCCGCCCCAGTCGTCATAATTTTTGTCCCTCAATTGGGAGAATCCCAAACATTTTTCGACCTGTGAAAAATGCAATCCACAGCCATCTACAAACCCGTTCTCATAAATTGACAAAATCGATCAAGCCAGATCTCCAACCAACAATTAGAAGGAATTAGACAACCTTTAAATAATGGAAAGAGGAACTATTATTTATTAAGTATCTTCGTTTTTCTTATACACTTGCACACACGTATACTTCTAGAAAGCTACGGAGGTAAATCGAACATGTAAGAAAATAATTAAACACAAAGATTAATCAGAATAAAAAAGCCTAGAATTTTATTCTTACCCTATGTGATTATTAAGGGCGAATGGCAAAAAGACCCATCACATGGGACTTAAATGCACATTGGTCCCAAAAAACACAGTCTCTCAATTAAACACATCCCCATGTCTCTAGTCTAAAATCTCCTCCATAATATAGTTCTTATCAATTCCATCCATGATGCTCTAACTTCCTTAATATTACACATTGACCCCAGATTTAAACAAATATATCACATTAACCACCCAAAATTTTTTTTTCAGAAAATAAATTTTTTTCTGAAAATTTCTTTTTCCGCCCAGATTCCCGCGTTGACTTTTATTTTTTTAACTTTTTTTTTTTCCTGAAATTTTTTTCCGGCCTGTCAACCACCGTTGACTGCCGGTCTCCGACGTTGACTTTTTTTTTTCTTTGAATTTTTTTTCTTAGAAAAAAATATTTTAATTAATATTACTGCCTTGGCTACTAAATTACTGTCTCAGACAGTAATATTACTATTTTGGACAGTAATATTATGAATATTATTTTCCCGAACAATAATATTATTAATATTATTGTCTAAGACAGTTAAATTACTGTTGGAGACAGTAATTTAGCAGCCAAGGCAGTAATATCAAATAAAATAATTTTTGTTAAGCAAAAAATTTCAAAAAAAGAAAAAAAAAAAGTCAATTAACAGTTAAATTACCGTCTCTGACAGTTAAATAACTGCTGGAGATAGTAATTTAGCAACGAATACAGTAATATTAATTAAAAATATTTTTTTTAAGAATAAAAAAGTCAATTAACAGTTAAATTACTGTCTCCGACTGTTAAATAACTGCTGGAGACAGTAATTTAGCAACGAATACAGTAATATTAATTAAAAAAAAGTCAATTAACAGTTAAATTACTGTCTCCGACAGTTAAATAACTGCTAGAGACAGTAATTTACCAGCAAAGACAGTAATATTAATTAAAATATTTTTGAAGAAAAAAAAAGTCAATTAACAGTTAAATTATTGTCTTTGACAGTTAAATAACTGCTGGAGACAGTAATTTAGCAGCAAAGACAGTGATATTAATTAAAATATTTTTTTTAAGAAAAAAAAAGTCAACGGCATTTGATCGGCCGGAAAAAAAAAAAAAAAAAAAAAAAAAGTCAACGCCAGAGACCAGCGGTCTCCAGCGGCGAGCGACGGTCTCCGGTGGTGGCGGGTCAAAATTGCGATCAAAATTGAAATTAGGGTTAAAATTGGTTAATTGATGAAATTGGGCTAGATTGGGGTGTAAATCATTAAATTGTAGTTGAATTGGGTTTCAATGAATTGGGGGTAATTTTGGTATATATAAAAGGATTTTCCTTATTTGCAAATAAGTTTGAATGAGCTGGATTTATTTGAAAGACAAAAAAGTTGGATGTCCCTCTTTTAATTAAGTGCCCTTGTCATGGGCCTTTTTGTGATCAACCCGATAATTAATCCCCCAATCCTTCAATTATGCAAGTTATTAAATCGGATTACTAACCTGAGATGTTAAATTAATCATAACCCGCTTCCGCGTGTATTACGATTCTAATACTCTAGATTCAATTACTGTATTCATACACAATTAATTCTAGAACACAACATTAAGCATAAATCTCAATAATGGCTACCTAAGAGATTAACTATATTCCTATGTTAATACCACAAAGGCACTTCTACCACAGTTATAATTATTAACCCGATCTTCCGATTCATGCAATTAACAATAACATAAAAGCACATAAAGTGATCAAGTTCATGGACTTAGTAAAACAAGTACAAGAAATAATATGGAATTACAACTTGCATAAAATCATGGAAAAGGGTTCATAAATCCCACATAGGGTTCGGAATAAAATCCTAGAAATAAAAGATTTAGCTACTCATAAAAACAAAATTAAAATAATTCATAGAAGATTAATCTATGCTTGGAGTCTTCGAATCGTCTTCGTTATTGCTTCTTTTCTCTTGAAATTGCGCAAACAAATTCTCCAATTGTGTGCTTGAGATGGCTTTTTATAAGGTGGGAAAATTTGGGGAAAATGCAGTTTCCTTGTAACTTTTGGAAGTTTCTTTACTGCGCAGTCTTTCGTTCTCAGATGTTTGACTTCTCCAATTTAGTCCACCTTTTCTTTTGAATTGTAGTTTTGACCCATAACTTATTCAATTCTTCAATTTGTGCCTAAAACACAATAAATCAAAACATTAAGCACAAATTATCAATAAAATACACCAAAATTTCCAATTAAAAGATATAATTAAGTGTAAACATATACACTTTTCTTTTAATTTTGTACACCCATGTACAAGAAATGGGGTGTACTCCCTCCGGCTTTGGAACGAGACTCCATGTCTGGTTTTTCTTTAATGCGTTCATCTCCTCATCCATTGCAAGCTTCCATTCTTTGATATCTTTGGCTTAATCGAAACATGAAGGCTCTTCGTCGTCAAGTGGTCTTGCAAAAAAAACATGAATATGTGCTCACAAAACATTCATCTCGATAGCGGGCTGGTTTAAGGATATTTCTCCGTGGCCTTTGATTATAAGCCGACTCTTGCGGTTTCCTTCTTGTTGGGCATCTCCTCCATTAATGACTGAGCTCCCCCTTTCACTTTGCTCATTCGGTGATTGTTGAGCATTCGGGACAGAAATGTGTTGGAAAAAAATGCTACAAATGAATGTTTGTCGAGGCGAGTTGACTATGTCCTTAAGACGAAATTTTCCTGCAACGGTGCTAACGGTTTTAACGGAAATCGTATCCCAAGATACAACCGCAAAGACTTGGAATAGGAGCACTCCAAATCCCAAGCACGACGAACTGTACTTTGTGTAGAACTTTTCGAGAGAATATGTAATAGGTAGGCTAAATATGCAGTAGGCTGTTTTGGATTGAAGTGAGGAATTATGGGAAAAACGGGGTCTATTTATAAGGTTTGAAAAGTAGAGTCCTTTGGAGCAAAAAGGTACATAAACATACTGGTTGAGCCCAAGATATGTGTTGTTTCGACTAAGGAGTCTTTTGGGCCGAACGGTTGCACCACTTCGAGTTGAGCCGATTGGTTTGCATTGGTTCGGCCGCACCAATTCAAACCAGTCAGACCATTCGAGATGGGCTTTGGGTAAGGAGTGTCCAATGGGTTGACGGCCCATGTCCTAATGTTTTTGGCCCAAAAAATAATATAGTGATTTGGGTCCAAGCCCAAATCCAAATCCGATCCGATCCGTACGAACGAGCTATGAAATTAATTATCTTGATGTTTATAATGATTGCATGTTAAGTTGTACTAATTATCATAATATGTTTAAGTTTTGGATTTGAGGTATGTAAGTTTATTGAGTCTAGAATCTTGAAATAGATGGTTATATGTAAAATTTACTGATTCATAGGTACGGATTTTAACCCATGTTTCACCCACGCGTTTATTTATGAAAACTACGAAATTTTATATGTAGATAGATCTTTCTGTTATGGCCATATTGATATGTGGGTTGTAATGTTTGAAGTATAAATAAATAAGTTATGATTTATTTACCGAAACTGTACAAAACCAGAGTCAGTTTACAATTAGTAATGAAATCTAATGTTTTCCTCTTTAAAATTTAGTAATTCCACTTGGAACAGTACACCTACTTTAGAGAACTCATTTGAGATAATATTTGGAAGTGTTTGACACAGTAGATGATTTATAAGAAATGTTGGAAGTCCCCTCCCCTGTTCTGAGTTTTAAACTGCACTACTGTACCATTTTACTTGTTTATCCTAATTTCCTAAGGTTTTTCTAAAACTGTTATTCAGGGGTATATGAGACTCCTAATAGTATATGAAGTTAAAATTTCAAAAGGGTTGG